AATAGGTACCTGGTCTGTGCACCATTGTATTAGTATATATAGTAGGGAGTCTGAGGCAGGGAACCTCAGACTTGATCTTCTCGTCGATCCCCCATCTCCTCTGTAGGTAGCTAGCAGCCCTACCTTCTACTGCCCCTTCTAGTATAGGGAATACACCTCTTCACATCTCTTGCTGTGTCACCTCGGGTTGCTTCGCTTCTCAGCACCAACCTCTGCACCAGTAAGCTTTGCCCTTGTTTGTTTTGGTGGCACAGCTCGTTGGCTGTGACAGCTCGTGTACCAATAGTCGCTACGCTGTACTGGGATCGTCGTTAATCTATGAAGTCGACCATGCAGGTCAACACTTCCACATCCCTATACGATTGAGCAGCAAGCAGCGAAGCAAGGAGTTGGTGGCCATGGTCGATTCCGGCGCCACCACGAAGTTCCTCCACAGACGATTTGTGGCACGGAACCAGGTCACGATGAGGAAGCTGGCAAAGCCTATTCCTCTGTACAACATCGATGGATCGGAGAACCGAGACGGCACAATCACAGAAGTGGCCGTTCTCACTATGAAGATCGGCAACCATGAGGAAGAGGTCGCGTTCGTTGTCACGGACATCGGAGAAGAAGATGTGATCATCGGACTGGACTGGCTGCGCGAACACAACCCGGAGATAGACTGGGAATGTGGTTCGCTGCGCCTGTCCCGATGCCCCGACACCTGCCCAGCGACCCACAAGGCATCCAAACCAGTGGAGACTGAAGCGCGTGATACGGGGGTACGGCTTACGGCGCGCACAAGGTCTCCACGGGTAAGGAAGACACGAACGGTGGGGCGTGTTTGCGGTACAGTAATGGTCAACGAGGCTGAAGACGAACCTCTCCTACCTCCAGCTGAAGAAGAGTGGGATGGTACGGAACAGTCTCTCATCGACGCTTGGCGCAAGGGCCGAACGCTTCGCGGTGCACCGCAACTCTTCGTATTGGCCAGTCACACCTACTCGCAGCAGCTCGCTGAACAAGAGTATGCCAAACGGGAAGTTCAAACCGTCAACGAGATGGTCCCACCGGAGTACCGAGAACACATGCGCGTGTTTTCTAAAGAGGCAGCGGATAGACTACCAGAACACCGCCCCTATGACCACACCGTCGAACTGGTTCCTAGCGCGCAGACCTTCCACTCGAGGCTTTTCCCGTTGTCGCCCAGCGAGCAGGTCGAGCTCGACAAGTTCCTGCAGGAGAACCTGGCCAAAGGCTACATTCGTGAGTTGAAGTCCCCGATGTCCTCACCCTTCTTCTTCGTCAAGAAAAAGGACGGCAGCCTACGACCGGTCCAAGACTATCGACGGCTGAATGCAATCACCGTGAAGAATCAGTATCCGCTCCCGCTCATCGCAGAACTCATGGACCGACTCAAGAACGCCAAGATCTATACAGCGCTCGACGTTCGCTGGGGCTACAACAACATCCGGATTAAGACCGGCAACGAATGGAAGGCCGCATTTACGATCAATTGAGGACTGTTCGAGCCTACGGTTATGTTCTTCGGACTCACCGGCTTCCCCAGCACGTTCTCCGCATTCATGAACGACATCTTCAAGGACCTTATTGTCGAAGGAAAGATCACCATGTACCTGGACGACATACTCATCTTCAGTAGCGACCTCACGGAACATCGCAAGGTCATCCACGAGGTCCTCAGACAATTAGAAGCGAACGACCTCTTCCTAAAGCCGGAGAAGTGTCGGTTCGAACAGTCACAGATCGAGTATCTTGGCATGATCTTCTCCGAAGGGCGCGTGGGTATGGACCCAGTCAAAATCAAGGGAATTGCAGACTGGCCAACTCCTCAGAACACTTCGGACGTACGGAAGTTCCGTGGCTTTGCCAACTTCTACCGTTGATTCATCCACAACTTCAGTGCCATCTGCAAACCACTGGACCGACTTACGGGCAATAACCTCTGGCAGTGGGGCGAGGAAGAGCAACGCGCATTTGACAAGATCAAATGACGGTTTTGTGAAAGTCCGGTCCTCTGCATCTACGACCCGGAACGGAAGACACGAGTTGAGGTCGACGCCTCCGGGTACACCACCGGTGCAGTCTTGTCCCAAGAGGGTGACAATGGAAAGTTCCACCCGATTGCGTACCACTCCGAATCCATGAATGATGCTGAACGGAACTACGAGATCTATGACAAAGAGATGCTCGCGATCATCCGTGCCCTGCAGGCGTGGCGCCACTACCTTGAAGGTCTTCCCTCCCAGTTTGAGATCGAGTCGGACCACAAGAACCTCGAGTACTGGAGGACGGCGCAGAACCTCACTCGCAGACAGGCGTGATGGGCCCTGTATCTATCGCGGTTCGACTTCGTCATCACCCACAAGCCTGGTGTCTCTAATGGACGCGCGGACGCGCTGTCAAGACGACCGGACTATCAGCACAGTGATGGCGAAGACAACCTGGCTCGAACGGTGCTCCGTCCCGAACAGTTCCGTATCTTGGCAAGTCGACGGGGACACCTTGCGGTCGTACCGGACAAGGCTCTCCTGAAGCGCATCAGGGAGTGTCAGAACTTCGAACCTGCGGTCGTGGAAGCCCTGAAGCACGTGAAGAAGCTCGGCCCTGCAGCACTGCGAAACGACCTGGTCGATTGGAACATCGAACAGGATCTCCTCCAGTATCGAGGCAAGATCTACATTCCGAATGATCAGGAGCTGCAGACCAAGCTGGTACGGCTTCACCACGACTCTCCTCTGGCAGGACATCCCGGAGTTTGGAAGACAGTCAAGCTGCTGTCGCGCAACTATCACTGGTACGGCATGGCTCAATTCGTGAAGGACTACGTATGGACTTGCGACACTTGCCATCGAGGGAAGACGTCGCGCACGAAACCCTATGGACCGCTGCAGCCAAACGAAATCCCGGAGGGTCCGATGCGCATCATGACGACGGACTTCATCGTTGGACTTTCCAAGGTCACGGTAGCCGAAGTCGAGTACGACGCCATTCAGGTCATGGCGGACCGGCACAGCAAGATGGTACACTTCGCTGCAACAGACGAGGAGGTCGACGCTGAAGGAGCTGCTTGGAACCTCATCCGCGATCACGTCCGCCTGCACGGCGTTCCGCGAAAGATCATCTCAGACCGAGGACCGCAGCTCTCAAGCACGTTGTTCCGCGCGGTCCTTAAGGGTCTCGGCATCGAGAGCACATTATCGACGGCATACCACCCTCAGACTGACGGTCAGTCCGAACGCTGGAACCAGGAGCTGGAAGCCTACCTCCGCATGTTCTGTTCTCTCCGACGAGATGATTGGGTCCACTGGCTACCAATTGCGGAGTTTGCCTTTAACTCACGGGTTTACTCGGCCACTGGGTACTGGCCCTTCTTCCTGATGTACGGATACGACCCGGAGTTTCACATTCCGGTTCTTGACACGGAAGTACCAGCGGCGGACGAACGGTGAGAGGAACTACGAAAGGCACGGGAGGACACAACTGCGGCACTGGGTCTGGCGGCCGAATGGGAGAAGGAGCACTTTGACAAACACGTTCAAGAGCTACCGACCATCGTAGCTGGACAGAAGGTCTGGCTCGACACCCGCAATCTGCGCATCACGGGGATGCCGCGAAAACTCGTAAATCGGCTGGCTGGACCGTATGTGGTCAAGAAACAGGTCGCACCACTGGCCTACGAGCTGGTGCTCCCCAAGGACATGCAAATCCACTCCGTCTTCCATGTCTCACTCCTCACACCCCACCAGCACAGTAATCTCCCAGGCCGTCATCCACCCGAGCCAGCCCCTCTCGAAGTGGAGGGGGAGGAAGAATACGAGGTTGACAAAGTCATCGACTCGAGATGTTTCGGCCAATGGAAGAAACTCCAGTACCTCGTTCACTGGAAAGGCTGGGGTAATGAGCACAACAGCTGGGAACCGGCAGAAAACCTGGTGCACGCCCCTCAGCTGGTCAAGAAATTCTACGCCAAGTTTCCTTCAAAGCCTCGATCGTGAGGACACAATCCTTTGGAGGGGGGTACTGTCACGAACCGCCCTCACGGCGCTATGTTTCCTTTTCGATTCGGACCATTGCCTCGTACGTTTTCTTATTGTTCACTACTCGCTATGGTTTCCCTTTGTCCGCACACGGACAATAGCTCCCTTTGTCCCCACGTCCGCTATTGTCCTACACCCCTTGTACTCCGTACCCATGGCGACACTATTGTTCTCTAGCGCCCATTGTTTGTTCCCTGTATATAGCTGGATCTCTTGCTACCTGGAGACTCTAGTTTCGACCTCTTGTCTCCAGGTAAGCTGTCGCGGCGACTAGGCGCGTAGACTCGGGTCGACGTTCGGCGACGACCCCGTAGGCGAGCGGCAAGGAGCCGAAAGGGGAAAGAGAGAGGGAGAGGGATAAACGTGACAGAAAACTTGACGGGGGCAGAGCGGAGGTCGGCACGAAGGCACGAGACCTACGAAAGCTAGTCTTCACGCAGACAGCGACAGACTAGTCCTAGTCCCAATGACCAAGTTATGCATTAGCAATCGAAGGGAGATACAACGCTATGGTCACTCACCTAGTCCCAATGACCAAGAGGTCGAGATGGGGACTAGGGAGCGCCTAAGGGGGTCCTTATATACTCGAGGGGCTGCTTAGCAACCAAAGACAAAGCGCGAGAGCGAGGCAGTGAAGATGACAAAGGAAGAACAAAGGGCGAGAAAGAAAAGGCAAGAGCATGGTGATCACGGGAACGGAGCATGTGGCAGTGGGAACGTATCTACAGTGTCCAAACTGGGATGGGCTAAGAAAGGAAATGGTCCGAAAATGGAAGGTGGGCGTCAAGGGGAGGGGAATGGGCGGCAAAAAGGGGCGTCTGTCCAGCGTCCGTGACATAAGCCATCGTGTATTTCGCTCTGTAGATACTTCGCTCAATACACAACTTGTCTCCAGTCCTGCCTGTTGAGCTCCGCTCCAGTCTCACTGCGATTAGAGCTCGTCGGCGCTCCTGCCTGCCTCGCTCGTCTCCACTTACTCGC